GGCTCTGCCGGCAAGGCAGCCATCATTTCATAGGGCAGATTTTGACCTTCCTTAAGAGAAATGGAAAGAGACAGGGAGCATGAAAGTGAAAGGGAAGCCTCTGTTCCCTGTTGGCTGGAGGCCCTCAAAGGCCTGGGGATATGTCACAAGGTAATGGGTGCTGAAAACTGGGCTACTGTGCATGGATTAAATGCATTTAGGCCAGGCAAGGGGAAGGTACCATAACTGAGGAGAATCTGTTCCAAAGCTTTGCTGTGAAATTAACACCTTCCCTTCTTCCTAACTATACAGACGTAATTTAGAGTGATTGGATGTGAGAACAAATGACTATCTATTTTGTTTTATGGTAGAGTTTCTCTTTATTCATAGATTGAAGGCAATATAACTTGGCAATATATATTGGCTATAATGATACATGCGTGAAAAACCTGTAAGTTGTGGAGGTAGCGTGATCTACAGCATAATTGACATAAATTAACTGAGGGGAGAGATATGCTACAGCACCTCATGCAGAATATCTTCTCGCTGATGCGGTTTTTATTTTTAAACATAATGGAAGTTGAGAGAAACAGCTCTGGGCCGGAATCCAGGCAAAAAGGGTTTTATATGTGTATTAAATGGAAGAATTTTGGCAACAAAACAGTATCCTTTTCTTAGCTTCTAGCTTAAATGGGGACAAGTGCTCCCTGCATTACTATACAGCCTTTCATTTTCATTGTTCTTCCACCTCTGAGTGGTACCAGGCAGAAAGACTGCATGGGGGTTTTTGTTTTACTGGTGCCACACACAATTTTCGATTAAGCAGTAAACACATCTAAGGCTCATCTAGAGAAGTATTTATCAAGGTGTCATCAACCTGATGGAAGAACTCCCCCCACTGACGGAGGGGTCATTTTTCCTCTCTATACCTAAGATTGGCAACAAAAAGGAGACACCAGGCTGACAAATGGCGTGCCCAGTGCATTGTAGAGGTGTTTCTCAAGTGCATTCTGCGCTGGCCTGACTTGGTTTCTATCTAAGCCTGTGGGAGCATTGTTTTTGACATCAGTGTGAAGAGGTTAGACCAGCATGGAGCACTTTGGAAAATTCCTCTTGCTTAATTTGGTTTGTTGCTGTGGCTATGTGTTATGCCATAACACGCATTTGTTACATAGCATATTTCAATAGTATTAAGTGTTTTCTGTCTCCTTGAGGAAAGTTGATTATCATCAGCTCACTTTTATCAGAAAACTTAATCACTCACTTTCAGAGGCTTACAAATAACCTCAGAAAGATCCGCATTTATAGTCAATTGCTGAGTTTTCCTTTGCTTTACCATAAAGTCTGTGCTTGACTTATCACATCACACAACTGTGTATGCATGTTTGAACATCCATTTGGTATTCAGGCTGAACCTGAGGGACGTGACAGTGGGCACGAGCCTTCAAGAAACTTGCCTTGGGAAAGCTCAGATTAGTTTAATATGGTTTTCTTCATGTAAGAATTGGCAAACTAAAGCTAATCACGAAACCTTAGCAAAGCCTTGGAGTTTATAGACGTTTGAACACAAGAGTAACTCTGCATATGTAAACAGATCAATGAGCTTTTATGTGTAGAGGCTCTGGTGCTTTTTGTAGAATCAGGGTCATGAGAATGGAGTATGTCCAATGCACTACTTAGACCACATACATATTAAACTGACATTTTAATTAATGATCTCTTTTCCATTTCATTTTGGCTGCAAAAGAGATACTTGGTGAGTATTTTTCTTCTTTAATGCACTTATTGGAGGAAGAAGCTTGGGAAAAGTGTGATAATCTCATTATTACCAGCCCTTAACTTTTTATCAGAGTCCAGAGCCAAGTAAATAATTGTCTTTGAATACAGAGACAGTGAAAGGGAAGAGCTCTTTTGGGGGTTAGAAACTTTCTCTTCCACCCCTGTTTTGAGATAAAGCTTAGAGAAGACATTAACCTGCAGATCGTATGTGGTGATCTGCTGAAGTCCATGGGTGCCACCTTCTCAGTCAGCAGAGGTGGACTGGGTGCAAGGCAGAGCGGAGCCTAAGCTCTGCCGAGGGAGCGCTCCTCCTGCCTCCTTCTGTGGGACAGCGTTGAGAACCAGCTTCTCCTCCCTTCTCCTCTGCTGTTTAGGACTCCACAGCCCAGGGCTGCACCCATCTTTAAGAAACCCCAGCCTGTGCCAAATTAGTTTTTGAACGTCTTCACTGGCCAGTGATGCGTTGAGGAAAGGAAAAATGCAGGAGTCATGTGGGGTTGGTGTGAACTATTTCTCCTGCATCAATTACCAGTTTACAGTTCTTAGGCAACAAAATACCAGTTGCTTACCCATTAAATAAAATTACTTCCTAAATGTTCTCTCAAGGTTTGTTTTCAAATCTCTGTATTTCAAGACTCGTACCACAATGACCTTTCCAGTGGATTGGCTCTGGTCATGGCCTCATTCGCGCTCTTCCCAGCTCTGATGGGGTCCATGAAAAATAGTATTAAACCCCTCACCATAAGTACATAGAGCACAAAGTGATGCTTCTCAGATTCATGACTGACCAGAACTGGAGTTTTCATGTGGGTCTGTGGATGCAGGGTTAGGCTGAAACTGTATTTTCGTATAAATAAATAACATGCCAAATCCTACATCTTTCTATTCCCAGTTTTAAACTTTGTAAAATCGTTGTGGTATTGTCATGCTGAGAAATTGGACTTGTCAAAGACCACATTTATGCTTTTTGAAATCTGAATTATATATGGCTTCAGGTTCTGCGCATATCTGATTGAAAACCCTGTGATTTAATAACATATTTTTTAGGTTTTCCAGAGTGTCTATATCTTTTGCCCAATGTTGCATAAGTAGTCCATTAAGAAGGGGAAATTTCTTGTTAATGGCTACAGAAGAAAAAATTATGCACAAAATATTTTTTAAGAGTAGACAATAAAAGAAAGCAGAGGAAATATTCCTTCTCATTTCATTTTTAGTAAGAGCAGGAAATAAAGAATGTAGTAATAAAACCATCAGTATTAATGGGTCCTCTTAAGCTAGATATTTATTTTAAATTTTGGTACGGGGGGTTGATATGCTAGTTAAAAAGCCTTGCAGTTAAACCAGTGTAGTACTACATGTATTTTATGGGACACTGAGGGCTATGGGTACACTCTGGTCGGTGGATGTAGTAGCATGGAGCTTAATGCCAGGGATAACATCATGAAAAGATGGATAATTTATTGGCAGTTACCCCCTGCAGACCTCTGTGCTGCCACAGCGAGCCTGCTCCCAGTTCTCAGCCGAGCTGATTGAAAGCAGTGACTACAGGCTCTGGGAAGAAAAAATGGCAGAGGGGTTATTTTGCCAAAGCAGGAAAAAAAATCAGGGAGGTTGCTTAAAACTCACCTCAGCACACACACACACAAATTATTTCTTTCCAGGCCTAAGCAACAGTGTGTTTTTATTGAACCCAGCGTCTTTAATTTGGAACTATTGCTACTTAAAGCAGAAGGCGCTAGTAGTAATGTTACTGTACAAGAAGCTCATTTAATTCTCTGTAAATACTGTGGCTGATGAGTTTTCTTTTGTGTAAAATGAATGCAACTGGATATTTTGCCTTCTTCTAGGCCCCCCCGACCTGTAACCAGCATGAACGACTCACTCTTCTCCCACTCTGTTCCCTCAGGAAGTCCCTTTGCAAACAGAAGGTGAGTTCTCAGCCTAATTTACGTTAAACCATTATGTGAGAGTGGTGGAGGTTTCAATTTTCGATTCCCTCCAGAAAAAACAAACCCAAAAGAAAATCAACAGAGGTTATGCCAAGGGAAATGCCGTGGTTATTTTGCACTCGTACCAAGATATCTGGATGGAGAGCTGGAGTTAGGGCACCCCAGGCTCCTCACAGCAGAGCACAGAACTTTGGTTCTCCTTTGAACCATGACATCCCACTAAAGGTGCTCACATGCAGCATAGGCACCCTCCCATAGGGGCTGACACCAGGCTGTTGGGGTGAGAAGGCATTTTGTAGCAGCAGTGTGGGAGCAGAAACTGGGACACGCCGTTGCCTGCTGGGAATGCCTGCATGGTGCTGCAAGATATGAACACCCTTGCTCCTGTTAAACCACCCAGGTTTTCATTCAAGGCTGCAAGAGAGAAGGAGTAGTCTTGGTATACGGTGACCCTTCAGCACACAAACCAGACAAGAGTGGTCAGACACACTGATCCCAAAGAGAAGGTGCTGGCGGCTGAGTGTACATTTTGGCTCAGTATTTTGGCTCAGGTGTAGCATTTGCTAGCTGCTTCACCCAGTCTGTGTAAGCCTACCAGTGCACATAGATGAGAAGGTGGCAGAAGAGTTAACTTCCCGCTGTATTGGGGAAGATGAGTGATATGTCTTCCCTGGAGATGCTCAAAACCCGCCTGGATGCAGTCCTGTGTAGCCTGCTCTGGGTGAACCTCCTTTGGCAGGGGGGGTGGACTAGATGATCTCCAGAGGTCCCTTCCAACCCCCACCATCCTGTGATTCTGCCTTCCTTGGGTGCATTTTATTGCTTGGTTCCTGCTGTACCTGTCAGTGCTTCAGTGTTCCTGAATAACCAGACACAAACTCTTGAGTATGCATGGCTACTTTTTTTAACACCAAAACCAAACCCACAGTGTACCACACTGCAATGTCAGAGTAAAGATGGTTTACTACTACTTTGATTTATGAACTTTGTTACCAGGAGCTATAAAGTGTAAGCTCTCAGTGTTATCTTAGCATGAGTAGCTGCTGGGAGTGACTGAGGTGCGTTTTGAAAGCCAGTTCCAAAGCAGCCCCCAAGACCAGATCTGCTGCCTGTACGGATAGCGAGACTGCAAATGCATGTTCATTGCTGTTGTTGGGGTATATGGAATTGTATGTGCCAGGGCAAGGTAGGATAATCTATTTGTGGCCTCTCCAGGATGGGTCATTAAGAGCAAGGCTCTCTAAGAGAGCAGCTGTTGCTTCTGTTTATCCCCCAGAAGTCGCTGTGCTCATTCAACAAAAGTGTGCTTTGCCGTTTAGGCCGGGGACCTGCAGTGGTAACCTCAGCACTGTCCACAGTGCCACTTGTTTTTCTTTACATATGAAAAAATCCTAATTATTTTAGTTTTGTGTTCTTCGGTAATTAATCTGACTGTCTTTAACTATCTGAATTAAACATATATGAACCCTGGGCCATTAAAACTACTTTTCTCCTAGAGGAAAAACTCCTTGATGGAGAATCGCCTGAAGGCAGTAGACAATAAAAACCCCACAACCATAGGTACCCAGCCTTCCTTATAAGTGCACACAGTATGACATCCTTAGAAAGCAAAAAGTTTCCACGATGCAGCAGTTAGTTTTGGCTTTTTTAAGAGTTAGCAATACTCTGATATGTAAGCAATTACATTGTTTGCATATTAACAGCTATTGCAACTTTTGTTTCGGTGACCTAGCAGGATTTTTGACAGCTTGCGCTCATCATTTTTATTTTCAACTCTTAGAAATTTAATTTGCATTTTTTTATTTAAAAAAAAAAAAAGAAAGCACCCTACCAACTGTCAAGTCAGCATCCTTTCTAAATGGTTACAAATTGCATTTCTTGTCATGAACCCACTCGGAACATGCTGGTCTCTTGCGTGTACTTTTTTGGGGTATTAACAAGGTTTCGTTGTTTGAATCATTCAGGTTACTTGGGGGTATAAATGCAGCCAGTCCTGTGGCTGATGAGCATTCTCTTATAAAGCTGTATGTAAACCAGCTTCACAACAATTCACGGTCAGTATGAGAGCACTAACCCACTAATGGCCGTAGTTGTGTAGCTCATGCACTAAATCATTAGCGATTCTGCTAAACTACTAACGATACTCTTTAAGGAAGGCTCTGGTGGGGTAGAGGGGTTTTGTGGCTCTAATTCGTCTTTTGAATAGACTTCCTGCTGGCTGTGGGCTTTGCCAACTTCTCCTGCTTCTGCACAGCACCAATCTTTCACTTTACCCTTTCACGTCGGATTAATATTAATGTAGCTGGAGGAAGTCGGAAACATTGTTTTTGAAAACCGAAAAAAAATACACCTTTATGGTGTCATCGCCAGTGTGTGACGTGCCTGATGCATTCTTGACTGAGGAACGAGAGAGAGCGCTCGCACGAGAGCCTGGAACTGACTCCAGGTCTCACAGCCAGCCTGCTCGTCCTCTGCCACTGCTCTTGCTGCTCGGGGTTGCTGTTCTGCAGTTAGCACCGCTTGCCAATAACCTTCCCCGGACCCCTTTGCTTTGCTTCTCCGAATGGCCACAGAAAAAGCGGATCTAAATCCTGACGAAGCTAATGAAGACTTCCCACTTACGTAGTGAGCGTTGGATTTGGACTGATGCCTCTGGTTGCTGCCTCTGATGCCTCTCATTTCAGTGACCTAAAGGAAGAGCCTATTTCATTCTCCATAAAAGAAATACGCAGTTGGAGAAGAACAGTTTCCCCCTCTTTTTTTTTGCTGTGCAGTGTAATGACCTTTCTTTTTTTTCTTTTTTGATTAATCCATGAGCATTACCTATAATTCAGTAGGAAGGTACTGAGACCAAGGTACCTTTCTGCTAAATGCCAAGTTCTTCAATCTGTATTAGACTAATAACAATATCTCCGTTCATTCTGTTAGGTTTTAGTATTATTATTGCCCTGGGAAAATCAGGCCTCATTAGTGGAAGCTCATCCTCTCGTACATCAGAGAAACAGACTATGACAGCTCTGTTTGCAGTTGTGCTGATTTTCTGTTAAACTCTCGGTGATTCATATTGTAATAAAAATTGTACAAACTCAGGGTAAAACTTCTAGCTGAGCGTAATCAATGCTAAAAGCTCTGCTGGCTGTGTTTTCACTGCAGATAACTTATGGTTACTTTAATTTGTGTTGAAAACTAGTCCAGAGGTTTCAGAGAGCTTTAAAGAAAGTTTTTATGTACTGTTCCTTAGAATGTTGATGCAAAGGAGAATTGGCACAGGCTGTCATTTGTGGCATTCCCATGTCTTTATTTCAGCTAGTTGTGTTCACCTAAGAACATTACCATTCACAACCAGTTTCTCACTGTAGCAGGAGATGCTGAATTCAGCACACCAAGTCATTCTGCTGCTGGAAATGGATATGGTCTCATAAGTCAGCACGATATCATCTTAATTTCTGGATTCATGGGTGAAAAAGGGAAATGAACTGGGAAGAAGAATCTTACTGGAGGAAAGATCTTAATAGCTAGTGAATACAATGACAAAGTGTGGGGAACAACTGAAAGGAGATTGAACATTATATGTTCTTTACAGTTTAATTGCATCTGAAGCACCAATTTTGGGTGGCTACACAATTATTCCAAAGCTCAAAGGAGGTCAGAGTCAGGCTTTCCCTGGGATGCTTCTTAGTTTCTTCAAGCCACTTCAGAATCAAAATCACTTAAAATTTCTCTGCTTGCTTTGCTTAGTTTGAGCCACCGTGTCCCTAACAGAGCTTTCATGAGGAGACTGGTATAAAAATTACAAGCAACTTTCTTCTGCATATATACAGTGTGCAAATTGATATTAAAAAAATATGCTCTGTGCAGCCAAGAACAACTTTAAAGTAACTTATATTAGAAAAGAATAAACAAAAAATCTATGATCGTCTCCCAAATAGCAAGTCACAGTCATTCGCTGCATTGACCGCTGATAGGTGACTAAAACCACAAGCTCTGTAACTTTTTTACTGGAGCTAAGATTCAGGTTTTAATCTCGTGTTTGTTTTTATATCTCCAATTACCTAGAGGGTAGCAGAACAAGGGAATATTGCTGCAGAGTAAGTAATGCCTTTGCAAATCCAATGAATTGGATGTGTCATGTCAAAACAGGTAAATTGAGCATTATAGAAACCTCTCTCCAGTCAAGAGGAATAACTCTATACCCTGAATTAATGTTTTCTTCCTAATTTGGCTTCATTTGTTCCCCAGCTGCAGTCTGCGAGTGCTGCCTTAAAGTACATAGCTACCATAGTAATGGATACAGTCCTTTTAATTAATATCTTCTTTAAGCTATCGAATTATAGGGCTAAGGTGGGGTAAGATGAAAAAGAATGTTTTTTCTTGCATTTTTCTCAGCCCCCTCACAGCTAATACACTTAGTTCTTCTAAAGGAGTAATAAACTGGGATAGATGGAGTGATGCAGCACATTCTGCTGAACTTGAAATTAATTGGCAATTCTGTGGTAGATAGGAAGAATGCACTATGGTATCAAATGAGAAGGAGAAATTGAGTCTTATTTAATGCTGGGTCAGAGTAGCTGGTGCCTTTTTTGAACTCCACATAAAAGCTGGAAAGAATTGGATATTCTACCTGGGCATAGCAAGAGATTAGGCCAAATTTCTGGACACCAGCTAGCGTTGGAGCAAAACACCCCGATTGCTGCTGTTGTCCGCGTTTCTGTCTCTAAGGTGTGTGGCAGGCCTGAACTGCATGTTCCCTTCATATGTTGTTTTCAGAACAAGATGAGAATCCTCCTTATTTCATCATCAATATTCTGCCCACTAAAGGAAGGGTTTATATGTCTGATTGTTTAGTAGCCAGGTAGACACTAAAGACATTACATAACATTTACACCAGTATTGTTAGGTCTACATCTTTGTAGACATCTGCTCAGAGTTGTAGGTTTTGTCTCTTAATTTGGATGAGGAAGCATCCTTTGGCATCTTGCAAAATGTTCCTTTTTAACAGGAATATATCTTTAAAATATATGTTCCAGTTGGCAGGACCCGGAGAAATTCACTGTGGCCAAAACAATCTCTGAAGTATTAGCTGTATTTTGGGGAATGTGTGCAGGATGTAGGAAGGTGTGGAAGAACAAGAAGGACAAACGTCATCTCTTCCAAATGAAGGAAGATTGAAGGTGAAAACAGGAATAAAGGTTGAAGGGATTGTACGAGAGACAGGCTAACCTTGGTGTCCAAAGATACTGAAATTATGAAAGAATTAGTAAGCACCTAGAGGATAATAAACCAATGAGAAATAACCAGCATGGATTTGTCAAGAACAGATTACGTCAAACCAAACTAATTTATTTCATTGACAGGCTAACTGGTCCGGTGGGTAAAAAAGAAGCAGCAGATATGATACAGGTTGACCTTACGAGGACTTTTGGTATAGTCCCAGGTGACGCAGAAGTACCCAAAGGAGATATGGATTAGGGGAAATTAAGTGTAAGAGCAGCATTGAAAACCAGTAATTGCATTTTCAAAAGTTTGCTGCTGTTCTAGGAGGAGGACATACCAGCTGGGATTCTTGAAGGCTATCTGAAGTCAGACACTGTGCATTGTTTCTCGTAATGACCTAGTGGGAGCCATAGAGTGAGTGTATGCAATTTGTAGATGGTACAAAGGTTGAAATAGTTACGGGAAGGAGTGCTTGGAGAGCAGTTTCTAAATTAAAAAAGTAGCTCAGTTGTAATGGTAGCAATTGATGTCCAAATGATCTGAAATCAGTTAGAGGAAACTCGGTAATGATATGTGAAAAGTGCTGTAGCGAGGAAGCAAATAATCAAATAAAAGATGGAGTGTAATTGGATGGATGGAAATATTTTAACAGAGGACCTAGCAGTTGCAGTGAACCACAAACTAATTGAAGTCAGCAATGCAATTGTTAGATTACATCTGACCCTGGGACATCATGTGGAAAGGCATTAAAACTCGTTCCCTGGAGGAGGAGACGTATGCCTGGGGGGTTGCACCCAGTGTAGGGCAACAGCACAGGGACAAATCTGCATGGCAGTCCAGAGGAGACACCCAAACATCAGAAACACTTGGAAAACATAATTCATAAAAAAGACTGGAAAATATAAGCTTGCTTCATCAACTAAGAAGGAAATGGACATTGGTAGACATGGTATCAATTGCTCAATGAGTAATGTTGGCTCGCCTGTCCCTCCACCCTAACTATGTTCCTTCTGGAGCGTAGGAGAGGAGAACTTCTGGTTGATAGAGGGAGCGTCACACTGCCCTTAGAAATCAAAGCATGGAACCTGCCCTGGGGTCTTTGGTCTCCTATTGTGGCAGCCTATTTATCTTTAAGAACCAAAAGCTGCATTTTTGGCTGAAGTGGCACGCCCTGTACCCTTTGAATGCATTTTCCTTCTGTAACTGGGAAGAAGACATGGATGGAAAAATGTATCCTTCTAGATGGCATGGAGTGTGTTTATCTGTGTGGGTATTGCGTCGGTGGAGGCCCAACACACAGAAGGAGCGTGCTGATGGGCACAGAAATGTGAAGCAAGGATTTTTTCTTGCTATGCAGTACAGCATTTCGTTCAGCTCTCTTCTGGATTTATTATAAATCAATAGAGCTTGGGCTCGTAGGACATCCTTTTCAGAACAGCACTGCCAACCTTGACCTCCCAAAAGGATGGGGATGGCACACACCTCATCTTACTGAATTCTTTCTTTTCCCAATATTGAAGGTTTTGATCTTGACTCCGTCAGAGCCGTGTCTGCTCAGATTTGTCATCTGTCACGTTTGTGTAGCATCATCTGCCTGGGTACACACCCACCCCCTGGATGCGCAGGTGCATGCCTGCTCACGCACCCGTCTTTTGCTCAAAGACATTTACAGGATCAGTAGCCAAACCAAAAAATAAAGGTGAATAATTTTTAAAAAGAAGAAAGTAAAATATGCTTTTGTTTTGCTTTGTTGTTTTTTAAACCAAAAATGCTGCAGCATGAAAGAAAAACTAACATTTCAATCTCTCCATTTTTTGCCAGTGTTATATTAATGTGGATATTTTAGCGTTGGGAAGGATGCAGTTACTGCAACCCATTAAATACTGTAATTAGGAAAAAAAGAAAGTGGGTTTGATGAACTATGTATTTTTTTAGATCAACGGAAGAACAGTACTTCTGAAAATTAAATTGGTGTATCCCATCACTGGACCTAAATAAGCACATTTCCATAGGTTGTTGAAACTATCTTACAGCAAATGTGGAGAAAAGCAATTTAGCTGTTATGGTGAAGCTTTCCCAGCCTGAAAGCTGCATTTAAGATGATGTTTATCTCTGGCTCCACCTGGAAACTACGCAAGCCTTCAGCTCTCCGTTTGTGAGAGAAGCACATTTTGTTTGTCCGTTTCTGTAGTGAAGGCTTTTTAGTTTGCTTTTGGAGAACAGGAGGGAAAACTCTAATTCCTGACTTTGCATTTCCTGAAGCTTTCTAAAATTTCTTTAGAGCTTCTATTATTTTTATTCAGTCCGGGGCGCTTGAATGAGTTTCTCCAAAGTCTGTCCTGTAATGAATTTCAAACATCACTGTTTACCCTCTTAGTTTTCCTCCTGTCTTATTAACTAGCTCTCCTTCCAAGAATACTGAAGTAGAGCAGAGCAAACTGCTGGCTAGGGCTGCTCCAGCTTTCTTGAAAGGCAAAGGGTAAGTTAAAGAGAGAGTATGTTCGTAGCTTGCACTAACACTGCTAAACCAGAACCTTTTCCTCTATTCCTCACACTTTTAATGGATTCTTTAAACATCTTCCCTGAGAAAACTGTGATAACCAATTAACCCAGTGAGCTAAGCAGGGCATGTTCAAATGTATTTATGTACACCTGGATGTGTGAGGTCTTGATCAGACACTTCCAAGCAAGTCCAACTTGTGATTTCAGTATGTTGATCATGTGGGTAACATATGTATATTTAATGTATGTCTGCAATATATAGTGTATTAAAGCAAATAGTGCCGGCCTCACCATCTGCTGTATTTTGAAATAAATGGTACTGTATAGCTCCAGTCCCTGGCCCAGTCTGGCATCTCGCTGATTTCTGAGGCTGGCTCTGTAATCGAGTGGAATTCTGCTATCCTAAGCCATTAAATGCTAAACATATAAATTACAATAACAACAAAATAATTTCTGCACTTGCTTTGTTTTTGTTTTGGTTTTGTTTTTTTCATTCCTAAATTCCCATTTCCCAATCTCACTTGCTCCTGCTTTCTCTGTTTATTTCCCTCTGTCTGTCCGGACTGCACCCTCTCTCCCCCCGACCCCGTTCCAGGTTACAGTACAGCCTCGATGTTGCAGACAGGCTGGCCGATGAACATGTACTCATCGGGTTGTATGTCAACATGCTGCAGAGCAACCCCGCACGGTTAGTGCAGGTTTGGCACCTTTGGGGAACCCAGGAAAGGGACGTTGGTCAGCCAAGGGCTCTCACTGGTTTCTCCTGGCTACAAGCTGAAGCAGCTCTTCATGAGCACTACCCTAAAGGGAATGCGTGTGAATACGGGGTGTGTCGTCCCAAAGGTGGTGGATTGTGGAAATTGCTGTTGTTCTCTCTGGTGATGTTAAGTAGCAAGGTATTGCAAGTAGTTGCTTAGTTAAGAATGGCTAAACAAGTTGATTTGGGGTACTGTGCTCTATTCAGTGCAGGACTTGGTGGTGGTACAGAAATCTTTGTACACCGATGACTAACAAGTCCATGTTTTCAAGGTAACAATTTTTGAGGTGATACCTAATTCATAGCTTCACCTTGCCTTGAAAGTAAGAAATGGTAATAGTATGTAAATAATAATAATAGTAGTAATAGGAATTTGCTTATTAACCTAGAAAACGAAGGAATTCATTTCGGTTTTTACGTATGTCAGGCAAGGATTTCTACGTTGTTTGAATCTTGTATATAAATTTTCCCTTATCTCCTTCAGGCTCAAGGTATGACAGGTTTTTAAAGGGCTGTCTTGAGTGTAGTTCATTGTTTCTGTTGGAGTGAATATGGAGCTTTGTGTACAAAACCCTGTCTGTACAAAATGCTGTCTGAGCACTTGTGGATGGTGCCGCTGCAGCAGGCCACCCCGGGGAGGGGAAGCACTGGCTGGCCTCTCCACGTGCAACAAAACTCTGGACTTTGCAGCCCTGTGCCAGCAAGGTGGTGAGCAGAGCAGTATATGGCCCTGGAAATGTGGTGCTGAACAGAAAACGGTACAGTGTTTCTAACAAAACTATGTTTATGAGGTTTCTTTTGCTCATAACAAACCCTTGGGTTTCTTGTGCTGCTATTGCAGAATATTTCCCAGGTTAGGAGAAACTCTCCATTTACTTACGTGTAGAAGGCAACAAGGAACTTCGTTTGGGAGGGTGAATGCAATGGTTCTCTGCAGTCTTACAAAATTCACTTTTGTGTGTAGCTCCAGTTGAAAATGGGAGTAATTTGCCATGCCCAGTGGAAAAAAAAAGTCTGCCTTCATTGTTCTGGATCTGCTTCTCTTCTCTGTAGCCCACTGGAATGTGCCAGTGGGGAGAAAAAAAAAGGCAAAGTAGTTTTTAGTGAGGAAAATGAAAACCATTTCTTCAAAACAAAAACATTTTGAAGGGGAAGTTCGTTCCTGGAGAAGCACTTCCAGAAAGCAGCCTTGCTGAGTATTATTTAAACAGTGGCTGTGAAAACAGGCTGTGATTGAGGACGGGAGTACACCAGTGCTTGGTCTGGTTCGACAGGGAGAAGGAAATGTGGCCCTGCCTCCCACAAGTGACTTACTTGATACGGTTGTTCAAGAGGCAAGCAGAGAATGGACATGGTTTAGAGTGATTTTTGGTGCTGGGCTGGTTTGCCAGGCATGGCACTTTGGATGCCATGTCTGTGATTCATTTAGCTTTAGTGAGGACCACCAGTTAGATCCCCTTGTGAGTGCCTAGCCTCATCTTCACCATCTTCACCATCATCTTCTCTAAATATTCCAACCTGTTCCTTCAAGGTTTTGAGCCAGCCTCGCCAAGATGTAGTACATTGGTATCCAGACGCTCGCATACAAATTATGTGCCATAACATCCTCCAAATTTAATGTTTTTGAGGGATGAATGCAGAGTGACTGGTAATGGCCTTAATTGTTTAAGTAACAAAGCATAGTACATAACAGCTGATTACTGACATTAAATCACTGCAGTCACAGCATCCTCCATGAGAAACAATCTCAGTTATTTATGTAAGATACCAATTAGATTTTGACAGAAGCCTTACAGAGAGGGACAGCACTCATCAAACCATGCCGCGCCGCCATTTTCTGCTTCCTTGCAATGAGACTGCGCGGAGAGAAAGGGAATGGTTCTGTTTTGGTGCAGACAAGAAGACCAAAGCGTTGCCATCCTGAAGCTCCTGTGTGAAGCCAGTTTCCAGGAGAGGCAGGTGAGGCCCCTGCAGGAGGCTGGGCTGCTGCATCTCATATAGCCTGGGGTGGCATCTTCAGGCAAAGGCGAACTCCTCCTGCCCGTGCCCCGGCTGGATGCAGTTCGCTCAGAACCCTCACAGCTGGGTTGGGGTGGTGCCGAGCTCAAGTTTTGTCACCCTGCAGCTTAACAAGGTTCGGTGCCCTGAGTACAGCCTGCAGTGAACCATCAGCAGGTGGCTCCTCATCTAGGGGGGGCTTCAGGCGGCCAGCTCAGCTGTTGTACCCGCCCGCAACGTACCGCACGTGCTGACCCGTACGTGCCGTCGCCCGTTTTCCAGTGCTGCTGGCAGCCAAAGGTGAAAAGAGGAATGAATGATTGTAGCTGGACCGTCATCTGCAAGAAAAACCTACAGAAATACTTTGTGAGCATAATAGATAAAGTTATCTGGAGATCTATATAGTGATATTTCCGAACAAAACAAGGTGGGATTTTTAGATACTGAGTCAGGCTAACTTATAGTAGCTAATGAGCTGTCGGATACAGCCAAGTGTACCTTTTTTTCTGGTTTAAGTGTAGCCTATTATTCATATTCTGGTGTTTTTTTAAATCAATTTAGTTAATTTTCACTGCTTATTTTTGTTTTTCATCTGCAGTTATATGAGACCACAACTAGAAGTACAAGTTTTCCTTTCCATCCCTCACAGGCTAATAAGCTACTTGAGGGTTTTTTAGAATCCAGTACTCCAGGGTAAATTTCTCCACGAGAAAGACTTAATTCATTGTTTACAGTAACTGTATGGGTAGAAAAAGTATCCCTTAGCCAGATGTTTTGGTTAGTTTAATCTTAATGTGTGTTTTAGCGTGTAAAACCAATACTCTATATTTAATTTAGTTCATCGTTGGTGTCCAGTTCTAAAGAAGAACTGCAAATAGTTTTCCTTTTTGTTCATGTAAGGTAGAGACTCTACCTAGTTTTGAATATTAATTCCACATATTTCAGTCTTTTTCTTTTCAGGTGCAGAAGGTAAAATATAAGTAGGAGGTTATTTTGTTCCATAGGAAGTTATTTGCTGATGTTTTTTATGTTACACTGTGTGGTGCTATGATGAGTCATATTTCTGTACTGAAGAAGTGCCATGCTATTCTATGGTATTTTTAAAAATGATTATTAAGGGAATGTGCACAACAGCTCTAGCTAGAAAGGCTCACCTAGTCTTCCCTTGAAAGACGAAAAACATTCAGAGACCCGCTGCTTGCAGGGAAAATCTATAGATGCTTGGCTTCCTTGAACAGAGTTAGTTTTTATGATTATACCCACATACCCAAGTGTTATTAACATTGTGATGGTAAAATCTCGATGATTCTAAAGTAAATTGCAAATTAGCAATAGCAGAGAGCTCAGATGATGTGTCTCAGTTTAAAGTGCCTTAAAACCAGGACAATTCTGAAAGTGTCACAGATAAACAACCCTCAGAATATGTTTGGTGGTGGGTTGCTGTTAGGACATTGCTCTTACAGCCTGAGGCTTAGAAACCTACCGTTTAATTTGTCGGTATTTTCTATAGTAAATTATTTATTAAGTGAAGGTTTGTAGAATAACAGCATGTCATGAAGACCACGCTGATACCTCTATTGCAAAAATTTTACAAGAAACTGACGTTTCTGAGATTTTTCTAAGCAGTGGTGACATAACTTGAAGGCCATCAGGGGACATCCATACCGCGTATTGCAGCGTGCCTGCTGCAGAACGGGCCTGAGAAATAGCAGAGATCCTCCGGTGCCACTCCTTTGTTCACAGGCGATCATATTTTTCATCCTTTGCCTGCAGTTTTGAGATCCCTTTTTCACGGATCTCCCTTAGAGGATATTACACAGATCAACTAAAGCCTAAAAAAGAAGTCATGTTGTGCAGGTGTTAATGTTGGATATTCACTCTGCAGCTGAATTTTGATAATTCTGCCAGACCAATTATTGCTAATAATTATTAAGTCTTTGAAGAAATGGTCACTAATGGAGAAGCAGTGTTAAAAGTGGTGTTTAGCTGTCTTAGAAAAGAAGGATCTGCAGCAGGATGTTTGTGTGCAAAATGTTCGGTTTCTTTCAAAAGGGTGCCTGAGTCATTCTCTTGAGGGTCCCAAATTCTGCACACATAGTCATAATATTTTAAAGCTTGTGTGGATTTTGCTGTATCACTGTCCATGAAGTTGCTGACGTAAAACAGAAGGGAATTATGGCAGATCAGAACTCTGAGACATAAGAGTCTTGGCAGTCAAGGCTAATGCTGCCGTGCATACCTCTGTGCTTAATGATCACATAGAATAGGTACATTCCAGAACTAAATTTATCTCAGACATTGCAATTTAATTTAGAAAGCTTTGGGGCCAGTGATTTGTGGCATTCATAGACCAAATTTGACACGCTGCTACATCTATTTTATGACATCCACCTACACAGAGATATATATCAAAGACATTAAATAGAAAGTAAGAGTCAAAACGCTGCAGTGGCTTGGTTCATTCAGTAAAGTCATTGTCTCAGGGGTTAACTCACATCTCAGAACTATGTTGCAGATTGCGTTATGCCAGCAAGTGGAACCATAATCCATTATTTTTCCAGGATGGATAGCATGGTTGCACATCGCTGTAAAAAGGAGAATTGATGCTGAATGCTTGCAGTTTTCACAGCCATCTGTTAGGATGAGATGTTTTAGTCATTGTGGAAGAATTAAAAATTAATTATACTGTCGTGAAAGTAACCCTTATTACCTAGTTTGCATAATTTGATGTGTCTGCAGGATTTGCTTTCTTTCTGTGGATGACACATCAGGCCAGCAAGCATGAGTATATAAGAAGCAGAACTGCATAAATTTAGAAAAATAACTTTAGCTTGGGTCTTTTCAGGGAGTCAGTCAGTTACCCCACAAGAATCTGAGTAAGCAATATATGTAACAAAATAAATTAAACATAACCAAAACCCAAAAGTCAGTGTTCATCTACCACCAGAAGTCTTGCATGCGGCCTGCAGTACCAGCTTAGCTTACAGAGAACCCCTCTGGGTCTGTCTTTTCACAGCTTTACTGTTTCCTAAACTTCAGGTTTATGGTCTCACAGGTTATTGTCAGAATGAGAAAAAGATGATGTTTGTCTCTTTTCCCTTACCTCAGCAAGCCATAACGAATCCACATGACTCACAGCTTTAGTTTCATGATTAATGAATATCAACCACTACTCATCTTTCAAACATAACTTCTAAATCCCAGTGGACTTAATCAAGCCAGCCAAAAGATGCACGTTGTAGTTCCCTGAGGTACCTGAGGATATGAACTCGCTGAGAACTTTTGGAGAAGTCTTTTCTTTTCCTTTTAAAGATGCCAGTTCTTCAGAAGCAGAACTTTTCGCACAAGCACCATTTTTGTCTGGAAGGCTTTTCAAGTTCAAGATATAATTTCTGGCAGAAATCAGGGTGAGATGCCTGTGCCCAAAATAACCCTTGTTTTGTGGACTCTTTTGAAATGTGAAGCTCATTCGCCAGCAACCAGTTGCGTGCCCTGAAGAGCCCATGGGTAGGGAGGTGTGTGCCTGTCTGCCTTCAGCCAAAACATCGGGGAGTTGCCAAGGGATGAGAAAAGAGGTCAGACTTACCTCGGATGGTCTGCAGGCTGTCCTGTATTCCACACAGCAAAGCATTCTTCTCACCTTTTCTTAGGGGCTTCATGGTTTTTTCTCTTGTCTATACTAAAAGTAATGCAATATAGGATTCTAAATCCCAGGATTATCCAGGGTCAAATAAGTCCTCTTCAGATTTCATTTTTTGCCAGTTTATTAGTTTTGACAGTTCTCTCCAAACTTCTAAATGTTTAGAAGTAGTAAAGATTCTCACTATATTACCTTTTTCTTTTTGATCTGACTAAATAATAGCCTCCATTTGAAATAAGGACAGCTGGCAAGGGACTAACCTGAGAGAAATAATTTACCTTTGATATTCTTAGGGGGGAAAAAAATAATAAGATGCAGTATTTTAAAGGAATTCAGTGTATTTGCGGTTTAGTTCTTACACTTTCTGAGTGATTTTTATGGACGTTCTGTGCATCTGACCAAAGCTCTTCATAGTTGGTGCTAGTAGACTCCTCCATCCTGACAGCAGCAGTTGGCTCCAAGTTAAAGCGAGTCCAAGTCTGGAATCAGTGGTGATCTAGAAGTAATAAGCTGTAATATTTTAAAGGAATTCAGCATATTTGCTGTTTAGTTCTTAGACTTTCCAATCACTGTTACGTGATTCTCTGAAATCTTACTCCCAAGTATCAAGAAACCAAGATTAAAAGAGAAAGGCTGATTGTAAATTCCTAGATCAGTGGTTCCAAACTGTGGTCCCTGAGGTCTTGGTAAGTGCCCTGCAAAACTGTCCTAAATACTGTTTTCTGTTGCAAATCTGACAAAGCTTCTAAAGTATTTCTCAGCAAACACTGAGGTTCCCACTAATCCGTTGTCCAAAAAGTAATCGCTCTTCTAGGCTGAGAAGTACAAGCTGAGAAGTAAAAACAAGTGCTGACTGGGCGGTCCTGGCCGCCTCCCACCCCTCTTTGGACAGAGTAGTCTGCAAGTTGCACCTTGCACAGCCGTGGCCGGGGGTCTCAGACTGCTGCTGTTTCCCCCTAAGGAGAGGTGCTGCCTGGCCCCTCGGGCTGATCCTTCCAGGGAAGTTACCCTCCCACAACTCCCCTTTACTCAGTTAACGTCTGCTGTTGTTAATTTGGTGACATTTTGCGTCTAAATTCTGTAATGAGGGTGTGTGAGTGGACAGTGTGACAGAGCGATGGTCGTTTTCACCGTGTATTAACATGTCTTCCCTCCTTCCCCTCCAACCCTGAGCAGCGTGCTCGACAGCGCAAGTCGCCTGGATGAAGAACATAAGCTGATCGCCAGGTATGCAGCAAGGCTGGCAGCAGAAACTTCTTCATCAGTAAGTGTTTTAATTAAAGGAAGGTACTTTCCTTCTGTCATGTTCCAGGGGCTCGGCAAGATCAGGGCGATTACATCTGACAGTCTTAATGATTAATGGATTATATTTCCCTATCCTTTTCATCAGACGCTGTTATGCTTTTGTAATAACGCTTCTATGCAGTCCATTTAAACCAAAGAGTCCATGTACTAATGCATATAATCTTTATACTAATGCAACTGTATTTAAACAATTTACAGCAAAGGGAATCTGACATCCTGAACTCAGGAAAGACTCGAAAATATTGTCTGGACTAGCTTTGGTTAAACATTAATGATTTACTGCAGTGGGAAAATGGGGTGGTGAATCCATTTTACTCCTTAGTTCAAATATCACTGCCACTA